CATATACACAATGGAATACTACTCAGCCATAAAGAACAAAGATATCTGTCATTTGACATGGAATGGAAAAACTTGATCTAACGCTAAGTGAAACAAGCCAGACTATGAAAGGCAAACACTGTATATTGCTGTTTAACATATACCAAGTGTCCTTGCTCTAGCAGAAGCTAAAGGACTTGACAATGTAGAAGTTAGAGAAAGTAATCATAGATACTAGAAGCTGCATGAAGGGTGAGTGGGTAGGTCCAGGAGGAAATGATTAACAGACACAAGAAAGCATGTAAATGAAATAGGTTAGGGGGAACCAGCAGTTGGCATAATGGCTATGTCACTGGACTCCCATGTAGTTGACCGCAGTTTGAGTCCTGGACCTGGTAGCTTAAACTCACACTGGGTGCATGTGCGTGCATGCCCAAGATCCCAAGAGGAGAATGGAGGAGAAGGGATTGCGGCGTGGTCATCCCCTCTGGGGGGTGATTTCTCGCTTTCTATCTCTCTCCTTCTGGCACGCACACGTGCCCTATAGCAAAAACCTCTCAAAAAAAAAAAAAAAAAAAAAGAATGAAAGAAATAAGTGGCCATTGCTGATGCCAGCTAAAAGAGATAAAAGAGTTTCTAGAGCATTATGCAAATGTGAGGGGGATTTCAGAAATCTCATGGAACTCCAGCATGAATTTATTTGGGTGTAAAAAATCTGAAACCCATGCATAGTTTTTTTATAATACACATCTTCTATGAACTTTTTAATTTAATTATTTTTTAAAAATTTTCCAGAGGGTGCATATGCTTGCTAGAGAGAAACAGAGAAAGAGAAAAATGAGAAAGCACTTCTCATGGGGAATAGTCATGTTGTAATCCCTTCTCCTCTACATATCCCTCCTTTATGGGATTTTGGACAAACATGCACACACCATGTGTTTTTCAAGCCACCAGGTCCAGCACTTGAGCTATGCAGTTGGCCAAGTGGTATCCAGCTCATGTAACCACAATGAGTAATTCTGTCTACTCAAAACAGAATGAGCCACAAACTTTAGCCATATTTTCTGATAATCTCATTTTAAAAAGAAAAAAGATGGGGCTAGCAGGTGGCAGGGGTTTTGAGGCACTGAACTCCCACATGACAGACCACAGTTTGATTTTTGGAAATCACCTTGGCCAAAATCCCAAGAGGAAAATGGAGAACTAGAGATTGTGGCATGATAGTCTCTCCTGCGAGGTGATTTCTCACTTTCCCTCTCTCTATCTCTCTCCTCTCTGGTAAGTACACACATCCTGTAGCAAAAATCTAATAAATTAATAAATACATAAATACTCAAAGGAAAACAAGTGAAACTTATGACTATGTACATAAGAAGGGATAGAGTTTGAAAACTCTAACTAGAAAGAATAAAAAGCTGTCTGCCATGTAATTCCAGCTTTTAACTTCAAAACTAGAATTCCCATAGAGTTCATGCTTACCTTTCAGAAAGCCATGGAACAATAGAGTGTGGAATAGAAATACCTCTGCAAAGAAAGTTAAACTGCCCGGTGTACCAGTACATAGTGGAAGCATTTCCAAATGTCTTAAGCTGTGCACACACTTTTTGCATTTATCACACTATTATGTTAGTAAAAACACATTTTGGAGGCTGAAATAATATGTCTGAACAAAGAACATAGTCTCCTTTGGGAATTCAACTGTGTTTCTTTTTTTTAAAGACTTTGACAATAAAGTATTCTAACCAGCAATATCGCAGCCCAAAATGCTGTAAATCAAATAAATGATTTGTGAAAGAAAGCTCCTTAATTCCTCAGAAACACTTGTATCAATTAAAAAAAAAACAATGAGAATAGAACAAATTCAATGTCAGAGGTTAATAGAGATGTGTGAGGTATAAAATTGCAGACTTTATTATACAGTACATAAAAATTCTGAGTCCAGTTTTTCATCTAAATCCAGTTGCACCTGAATCTACATATGAATCTATTGTATTTCCTAAAATGCATTATCTTATATTTTCCTCTTAGCTGATGACCACAGATGGCACAAAGTAGTTTTTAAAGTAACTGTAGGGCCAGCTTCATGGTCTAGCTGTTAAGGGAGGTAGATCCAACATGGCTGACTATAGAGTTCAAGTCCAGGCCCCAGCAACTTGAAAAACATGTCGGGCATGTGTACACGCATGCCCAAAATTCTCAGAGGATGAAGAAATGGAGGGGAAGGGATTGTGGGGTGATTATTTCCCCTTAAGGGGGGCACTTTATTCTGCTGATTCTCTATCTTTCTCTGCAAACACACACAAGTATCCGCTGGCAATTTTTTTTTTCAATCTTACCAATCACCTTTTAGTAAACAGATACTCATTGTATTTCTTTGCTATGTTTAATAAATACTATTATCAATCAACAGAACCCAATAAAAATAACAATTAGGTAAGCAAAACAATACTCTGAGAACAAAAGTTGGGGACTGGTAGGTAGCATGGTGGTTAAGGGTGCTGGACTCCCATATAGCTAACCATAGTTCTAGTCCTGGACCTGGCAGCTTGCTTTCTCACTTTCCCTCTCTCTTTCTCCCACTCTCTCTCACTCTCTCACTCTGTCCTTCTCTGGTCAAAGAAAAATAAATAAATAAATAAATAAAGTTAAAATAATTCTTAAAAAAAACAAAAACAAAAGTCCTAGTTTATTAATATGTTGATATATAGTGTTCATTTTTCAGTAGATTAATTTTTATTCAACTAATGTTTAAATTTTCAATATGCAAAACCCTTTGTTAGGTGCTGAACCAAGTTAAGACCTTATGATAATTCATTCTTTATTTCAATTTATTAGGTATTTGCAACTTAAAAATACAACTTCAAGATCAGTGCACACATGTTCAAAAGACAATGCCATGCTTTAAAGACTATTTGATACCTGAGTACCTAGCATGCTTTCTCCATGACAGGTGAATGTCAACTTTTCTCCAAAAAGTTCTTTCACCATTGTGAATTTGGCCTGAAAATTGTTTCCCAAATCCTGTGGCATGTCAGATTATTTTTTCTGTCTTCTGTTTATTTTGGGTTTCTTTGGCTGCATAAGTGCTGTCTCATTTATCTTCCACGGATGTCTTCCTCTTTAGAGCTATTTCCTGACACAGGTGAAGCTGTGGTTTCCCAGTTGTTAATCCTGTTTTACAAATAAATATTATGTGAGAAATACAGACGTGCTAAATAAATGTAACAATGAAAAAGATACCAGGGTTACAGAGTAGAGATGCCAAGAAGATTGAAAAAGTGAATTATTACCATCACCTTTCTGTGACCCTTTGACTGGCTGGAGCTTAATATCGTAGGAAGGGCATCATCGGTCTGTAACTTTCCCCAAAATGTGTCCAAATTCACTTTTCCATCCACGAGATCAGCATGGATCAGCGTGGCTTTGGACCATTTAACATTCAGGAGGCCTGTTCTGTGACTGTTTGCAGATGTCCAGCATCAGCCAGTGCACGTGGTGACTGTGGGCGTTTTACATTCAAACTTCAGTCTCCCCAGCCTTATCTTCGTCTCTGCACAGACTTCAGAAACAATCTGCAATCTCCCCTATCTCCTTCGGCTCCTTCAAACTGTTCCACTGGAATATTTTGTGTCCTTATTTTAGTCTGGGTTCCAGCAGAAAATAGATGGCATGTTCAAGCTAAAACTGAGCATAGAGAAACAGAGAAATGTTTTATAGTGCCAGCTCCATGGCACAGTGGTAATACATTGCTCAAGAGAAGTTGGTTCCCACAGGCATCATGATTTGAATCCCTGCCTCAGTCAGACTGAAACGCACTGGGCACACACAGGTGCTCATCCTTTTCTCTCTCTCCCACGCACATGTTCTATCATGAATAAAGGAAAAAAATAAAGAAATTACTAATTTAAAAAGTAAGCAGAATTTGGAGAAAGAAGAAGGATGGTGCAGGATCCCAGGACTAACAATAGCAGAAAGCTGTTACTACCCCTATTACTGTGCCCCTAAAGTTCTTCCTACAGGATATGGTTGAACCAACGGGAAGTTGGGGACTAACTGCCCTGGCCTGCCTCCTTTCCTGTCCTGTGGTGCCTTGTGGGTAGAACACTGGATGCTGCTGAGTATATTTCATTCAAATCAGTCTCCCCTCAAAGTTGGAGCCTAATAGGAAATGTAATTAGGGAAGCAAACAAAAACTACTGAGCACAAACCTGCATTGATGGTGAGATTTTTGAAGGAGAAGAAATGGTGCCTACATTTTCCTGATAATTCCTATCACCTGCTTTCTCCCTCGCTTCCTCTCTCCTCCCTCACCCCTCTCTTCCTCTTTGTGAAAAATTCCAACTCCCAGTACAATTTGCAATTACTATCCATTACCTGACTACTGCTCCCACCGACTTCTATCAAACCACATTGCTCTGGCTGAAGGCACATCATCTTGTTAACTTCCTCAGGTCCCACTGACGTAAGTTCTGTGTTAACAGCTGTTCCATGGAAATTGTACAGAGTATTTACTATCCTCAACAGAAATTAACTTAAAACTGACTAAAATGTCACCCTTCTTATACTTTATTCACCATTCCTTATACAAGAAATCGCTCCCGAGACAGTTTTCCTCCCAAAGTAGCAGCATGGTGTCAATCTCCATGCTTTCTGTTGGGAAATGGAGACCATTTGATCTTTGGACTCCAAAAAATGAAACTCACATACCAAGCAATTTAAGTGTGTGTGTGTGTGTGTATGTGTGTGTGTGTGTGTTTTGTTTTTTGTTTTGTTTTGTTTTGTTTTGTTTTGCTTTAGGGTGTATATGCACATTGACTAGAGACAGAGAGAAAGAAAGTGAGAAATCACCCCTTAGAGGAGATAGCTTTTCCCAGGATCACGCCCACTCACACACATATGCCCAGCATCTCTCTTCTTTTTCTTCCTTCCTTACTCCTCCCTTTCTTCTTTTCTTCCTTCTCCCTTTCTTTTTTTCTTTCTTCTTTCTTTCTTTCTTCCTTCCTTCCTTTTTTCTTTATTTTCTCTTTCTTTGTTTTTGCCATAGGATGTGTACGTTCACTAGAGAGACAGAGAGGCAGTGAGAGAAAAGTGAGAAATTAACCCCCCAGTGGCATGACTACACAACCTCTTTTCCTCCTGGGATTTTGGGCACATGTGCACACATATACTCAGCATGACTTTCAAGCTGCCAGGTCTGGGATTCGACATGATCAGCCATGTGGAAGACCAGTGCCTTAACCATCAAACCACCTACTGGCCCTCTGCCCAGCATGTTTTTCAAGCTGTCAGGTCTGGGACTCAAACATTGCAGTTGGCCATGAGGGATCCAGCGCCTTACCCTCCAGGTCACCTGCCACCCCTAATTTAAGTTTCCAGAGGATCACTGTGCCTGCTTTTTAGAATAGACTATCAGGGTCAAAGGTAGAAATAGTTTCATTACTTGGAAAGTTATTTAGAATAGACTGTCAGGTTCAAAGGTGGAAATAGATACTACTTAGGAAGTTATCCAGGTGAGAGAGGATAGTGGTTTGAATCAGAATGGAAGGGAAAAGAAATCACATATTGACCAAAGCTTGAAGGTAAAAAGAAAAAGAAAAGGGTGGCAGATTTGAGGACAGAGTTGAATATATAGTAGAAGAGAAAGAGAGAAGGCAAGGATGATTCCAAACTTGGGGGCCTGAACCATTACAAAGATAGAGCTGTCATTTACAGAACTGGAAGGAATCAGGAATGGAGTAAGTTTTCTGAGTAAAGATCAGAAGTTTGGTTAGAGAAGCCTGTGAGACAGCCAAGTACAGATGTCAAGTGAGCAGTTAGGAATATGCATTTAGAATTCAAAGGAAAGGTCTAGAAAGATATAAATCTGGAAGCCTTCCATATACATGTGGTGAAATCACCAACAGAAGAAGAGATCCAGGGAATGAAACCTGAACCCTGTAACTTTAGTACAGATGGGAGAAAGGATTGGTAATGTGACAGACGAGGAAGAG